TATATATATATATACACACACACACACACACACACACACATATATATGCATGTTTATGTACACATATTTTTAAATTTTATTTTTTACAAAAATGAAATCACTCTATTTTGTTCTATAATTTGCTATTTCCTCCCTACATAACAATATTGCATTTGTCTTTTTTTTTCTTTTTTTTAAAGTTTGCCAGAGGGTGCATATTCTCACTAGAGAAAACCAGAGAGGCAGTGGAAAAGGGAGAGGGAGAAAGCACCTCCCATGAGGCAGTTATGCCATAATTCCTTCTCTACTTCTCCCTCCTTTTGGCAGTTTGGACATTCATAGACATGTACCTGATATGTTTTTCAAGCTGCTGGGTCTAGGACTAGAACTCGAGCCATGCAGTCGGCCATGTGGAATCCAACTACCATAACCACTAGACCAAAAGAGGGACATTTGTCTTTTTATTGGTTCCATAGTAGTCCACTATTAAGTTATTCCATGCCAGATGTTTCTCTATTGAAGGATAATCAGGTTCATACCAGGTTTTTTTTCCTTTTTTTATACAAATAACCCTGCAATGAACATCTTCATCCACATATGCTTGTACTCATGGATATTTCTGAGGGAGATACTTCTACAGCTAAAATTGCTGAGTCAAAAATATGCATAGAAATAGAATATAATGAGGTTGGGAATGGATCTGACATAAACGAATTTAAATTCATAATTCTGTTATTTGAATTATAAGTGTACTTCCTGTAACCCCTCCTATTTATTAGTTTATCTTTCTTTCTTTTATAGATCATCTCAAGTATTCTTTTCCCACCCACCATCTTGACATTGGAATTTAAAAGCACAGCCGACATGTCGCACGTTCCTCAGTCCCAGGACTTCCAGTTTGCATGGTACTCCAGTGAACAGAACCCCAGCAGTACCAAAGACAGTGCCTGCATGGTTAGTGCAATATCATAGCACATTAAGTCTTCATGGCATTGACTGCATACGAACAGACACATATATAAAGCTTACTAATATATCCGTTTTTAAAAATAATAATTTATTATTACTTTTTAAAATTTTATCAGAGGGGACTAGCAGTTAGCATAATGGCTATGTCGCTGGACTCCCATGTAGTCAACCGCGGTTCGAGTCCTGGACCCGATGGCTTAAACTCACACCGGGTACGTGTGTTTGCATGGCCAAGATCTCAAGAGGAGAATGGAGAAGGGATTGTGGTGTGGCCATCCCCCCGGGGGGTGATTTCTCGCTTTCTGTCTCTCTGTCTCTGTCTTTCTTGTGAGCGCACACACCGTATAGCAAAAACCTCTCCCCTCAAAAAAAACAATATCAGAAAAAGAGAGAGAGATAGAGAGAGAGTGAGAGAGAGAGAGAGAGAGAGAGAGAGAGAGAGAGAG